CAACTCCCTCTGTTGTTGCTACTACACAGAAAAGCAGCTAAAATTCGCTGATTAAATGACCCAATGCATTCAGAAGATTGCGTCAGACGTCAATGTGGGCTATACCCCGAGTCTGGACTCGCCCGGTTAGATCGAGTCACAACTGAATGCGCCCACTGCGTATTTTCTCATCATTCTAAGTTGCTTTGCACGAACAGGAGGATGTCGATAGTCGACTGACGGGAGAAAATTTATCGGACGAGGAAGAACCGTACATATTTCGGCTTCGAGTGGCACAAAGTGTCCCATGCCAGTCTAATATTTCTCTCTCCTTTATACTCCTGGTCACACACTTCAGCATTTCCCCACTTCTCACATCAAATGCATAAATAAATTTCCATTCATGACCTTAGACGGCCCGCGGGCTGGGTCTATATATTGGGATGCTGCAGAAAACTTCGGAATTTAGAAGTAAATGCCATGGGTGCAAAATTTTCAAAGGGAGATGTTTTCAAATAATTTTTTGCATCAGTTAAAATGATGAAGATGGAAAGCTGAAACTTTGCATGAATGTGACTCTTGAGACTAAGAGTTAAATAAAAATGTTAAGTCTTGATACATCCCTTGGGGGAATTTTTTCGAGGGGCGAAGTTTTGAAAAAAAAAATTGTTGAGGCGAATTGGACAGAAATGGAAAGGTGAAACTTGGCACACGTATAAGTAACATGATATTACTGAGGTGAGGGAGTATTCAATTTTCATGGAGCATTCCCTCCGGGCAAAGCTTTTGGGTGGGTCGGCTTTTCCAGATACATTTTATCAGCCAGGAAAAAGGGGAAACGTATAAGGCTGAAATTTTGTGTATGGAGTTCCCTGAGTCTACATTTTAAAAGAAAAAAAATGTTCGTATAAACGACTGCAGTCGGAATAAGAGCTTGGAAAATAAATTATACTAGCGGCCTGCGGTCGCTACGCTGGCCGTCTAATAGGTGGAAATCTAAATCGTCTATTGTAAGCATAACGTCTCCTTGTCACCTCGCAAAATTTGCCACCAGTCTAATATTTCTCTTTCCTTTATACTCCTGATCACACACTTTAGCATTTCCCCTCTTCTCACATCATATGCATAAATAAATTTCCATTCATGCCCTTAGACGGCCCGCGGGCTGGGTCGGGGCGATCGGGCTGAACCACAGCCCATGTAGGGCTCAAAACCCTGATTCCTCAAATAGTGAAAACGACTGCTATTTTACCCATAACAATTTGGAATTCTTTCTTCACTCTCTGGAATGAAACAAGGGACTACAGAGAGCCATTGTTTACTCAATTGTGGAAAGTCATAGCATTTTTGGCAGCACACGTAAAAATCATGTTCACAAGTATGTGCGTGTTTGATCATTAATTCCCTGTTCCACGAAAAACTTAAAATAAAAATGCGAACTGGAGCATGCGAGAAGACCTATTATAGAATCGACAGAGTGGTCTCGGATAATGAGAGTAAAATAATTATTTGTTAGAGGAGTTCGAGTCTTAGTTGTGCGACAACATGAGAACTGTTGGACTTGGAGGTAATTGACTGGCGAAGCGAAAAGACAAAGAGTGTTGCTTCCACGTATTGACCTGGCTCCGTCAGGCCCGGCGATGCCTCTCACGATCAAACGGCGAGAGTTTATAATCTGTGCTGCTTTTGCCATGACTATCAACAAGAGTCACGGGCAAGCATTCAAACGAATTGGATTTTCCGTTCCTGAATCCCGATTTTCCCACATACAGTTGTGTTTAGCTTTCTCGAGAGCACAGCGCCGGCAAAACTTGATTAAGATGGAGCTTGGACCCCGATAAGGCCGATACCCAGGCAACGATGGCACCTACCTCGTACATACTGAATGTCGTGTTCTGAGAGGTTTTTCGAATTGAAAATACTGTACTTTTTTTCAAGTCGATTTATGGAGTTCTTTTTAAAATGTATGTGTTCTTCAATAAAAAAAAGGAAGAGACGCAATTTCTATACCTATTGGTCCATGGTTGAGTCAGAAACGCATTTATTGAGATCATATACCTTCAGGTTATCGAGTATTTGTGGTAAAATCTGCAAAGCGCTACATTGTCATTTCGCGCAATTTGCGCGGGGCTTCGCTAGTTTATTTATATTGGTCCCGTAAAACGCGTCATGGGTTTCTTGACCGGCAAATATTGCAACTAGACCTTCACGTGTGTCAGTTGACACATGTCTATCTGCTAAAACTTGTTCGTGTGCCATCCGACACAATTCATCCTCCAAGGAGGCATGCAGGTCTACACTTGGCGTGTTTACCGAGGGGACTTCGTCCTAAACTGGACAAAGAAATTCGCCTCATTCCGCACCGAGTACGCTAGCGCAACGAAGTGGAGACAGTCAAGGACACAGGCACAGGCCTGTTGCTCATCCCTTTCATATTCAGGTAGATAACTTATTGAGTGGCCCTCGTATCTGTGCCACATGGGTGCCCGTTTGACCTTGACGTCCATGCATGAAAGAGCTTACGATTGCTTCCTTCCAATCTGACACCTGCAAGCTTCGTGTCTTCTTGTCAGGGTACACAGATTTCACTCGTTACTGTCATCCCCCCCCCCCCAGAGATTTCGAGATACTTTCCAGAGACACTTTGAGTATATGGTCTGCGCTGCCCATCAGACTCAAATGCGAGAATTTAATTTATTTTGTTTTTATAGATTTAAAGTATCTTCTTTAAACACACCCCATACACCTTCCCATACACATGCCGCACAGTCACTAACACGCAATATACTGTTTTTTCTCGACTGCTCTATGGAACCTGACATAGACGTTCCTCTCTCGCACAAGCGTTACACTATACAATGGCATGGGACGCACCAGTAATGGATGCCCTGTGAGAATCATCTAGAATAGCCTGCAGCGATGACATCACGTCATTATGGATACCATAGTTACCAATGGAAACGAAGGAGAAGCCTGCTCGGGGAAGCGGAATGAGGGGACCCGCGGGTATCCAGTGCTGTTCCACAAGTCCATGTGAGAAAGGCGTCTGCGACAGGAAGAGACGCTTCCATCACGCAATCAGCATCCTCATCTGACTTTCGCTTTTATTTCGTATGGGGCTGTGTGAGCCTCGGATACAGTTCATGACTATTAGGCCAAGGAACAGATATTCGGATAAAGAAACCCTCTGCTGAGGGAGTCACCTCTCACTCCAAAGGGGATGGCTATAGCGAGCCTTGCAGCTACGATGGACTTCATTGATATGCACGAGAAGTCACTTGGAGAGGTGCGGAGACAGCATTGCGAGAAGTGAGTTTCTCAAGGAGATACCACATCCCGCCGAGCCAAAATGACTTCGTACCACGTATGTTAGAAAATAATCGAACAAAAATTCAATAGATATAGGTTCCAGGAATCTGCTGCCTCGAGAACATCGCATTCAATATAAGGTAATGCGGCTATCGCCAGAAAATCAGGAATTTCTTCAAAATGATGGGACAGGGTACATTGGCTCTGATGGTTTTTCCTCCTCAACCTCGACAATCGGCAATAAACCTGAAGCGAAGACCAACACGTCGAAATAACCGACAGACCTAGGCGGTTCTGTTTGCGAGGGGATAGACATATAAGGCCAGTGAGGGGGAATGCGCAATAAATCATACGAAAGTACCTGGGCTTCGTTTTTTTTCTTCTTCTCTGTTTCCCTTTCCGTCTGTACAGTCCAAAGTGAGGTCGGCCTCGTCTTTATCTCAGCATCCACTTTCAATCTTGAGTCCAGATCGAAAGATCTGCACTCAAGGCATGGGCTGCATTTCGATTTCCACCATTCGAGTTGCCGATCCCATCCGACTCTCGAATCCAGGGATGATCATACTTTAGGTGCTGTGTAGCGGTGTTTCCACCATAGGCGAAGGTGTGACGGTAGACCCGACCGTGACGGGGTGGGGTCTAGTCCCGTTTAAAGACGCTACTGACATTTCTTGTTCTTATGCACTTCATTCCTACCATGACAATTCGTAGGAACGAGATGAAGCCCGCCGCACACGAGGCAATTTTTGTTGCGCGACCGTCGCTCCACACGATATTGCTCGGAGTGCGGGGGTCGTGCGACGTTGCTGCGATGTAGGCACCCCCATATCATAGCATCGACCAATCGCATTGAGACATAAAATCTCAATTTAGTAGTTTTTATTTTAAATTTAGGTCCGCATTGCCCATCCCATTCCTTGGAGATTGCTCTGTGTGTGGGGTCTCATCTGCAGCGGTCGAGCGACGGTGGAGCAACAAAAATTGCCTCGTGTGCGGCGAGCTTTAAGTTGAACACGGGCGAGAAGTTCTTTTCCATTATTTTCTGTTTATATTGTTACGGTTCCGTGCGTGCTCCTCTACTGGTGGTGGGAATCACAACACTGTAGGTCAGGGCTACAAATAAGGGTTTATTAAAGAACAAAGTACAGCGGCCAAGATCGCACCAAGGGGATAAAAGGGATAAAACCACGTCGTTGTGCGGTTAAGCTAGTACACAAACAATAGTCCTCGGCCAATCAATCAATGATCCTGGAAGACGACGAAAGGGAGCGGGGGATCGGGAATGTCTTAATCCCGAGGGGCGAGAGGTGTCAGGAGATCGGGAACGTATACTCCAGAGGGATAACAAAGTTTAGGACGCCGGGAATGTCTAATCCCGCAGGGTATAGGCTTATCACCCGTGGACGATAAGCGGAAAGGATAGATAGGTGGACTGTAATCAGCTCTCTTCTCCCCCCGATAGCAAAAAATGGGGAGGGGGGGGGGACCTCGCTCCTCAGGTGCGTGCGATCTTGCGGTACAGGCCATCCTTTCTTGGCGCTTGGACGCCGAATTACTGGATTAAAATATGAGCATAACTCTGCCTCTAGTCTGTGAGTGCCAAACGGAAACGAAAAGAGAGGTGGCTGAGAACAAAAGACATATAGAGGGTTACTAAGTGAGATCTCTCGATTGGGGTCAAGGGTCAGAGGTCAGGCGTGACACCTAGGGGGTCATGCATATACTGCGGTCTCCCTGGGCGACTCATAGAGAGCTCTTCCCTCGCATACCGGCAGTCCTGCCAGGCCACTCACCGGCTGGGCCGTTACTGTGCGGGGGCGCTTGGAATGGGCTGCCTCATGTGACATGAATCCAATCCGCCATTGGTACTGTGGACAGATCCAGGACAATTCGAAGTTTCCCCCTAGAAAGACAGCTGGAAAAAAAAAGAAGCGTATGGATGCGGCTGATTTAAAAGCTATTTATATTTTAAACTTTAAATTGTGCAGTAGCAGGAACTTCCTTACCTGTGCGCCTCGGTGTGTTCCACATAATAGGAAAGCATTCACATTTTTAAAATAAATTTCTCTCTGGCTAATCTGATGTGAGCGAAACGGCGATCGTTGGAAGAAGAAAGCCTAGCAAAGACCCGGTTGCTTTTCTACATACCCTCTCATACCCCCTTACAGACGAAACCATTGGAGCCAAGCAGCCAATCACAGACCGGATCACGTGATCCAAGTAGTATGGCGTAATGCAGGCAAGCCAAGCTCTGTCACGCCGTCGAAGTCATTAAAGCCCCTAAGTTATTATGCCTATTCCCATGTCCCTTTCGTGCTGCAGTGTATATCCCAATCTGTTTATCGTACTTTAGTATAGGAAAGAACTGCGGGTAATCCCTTAGAAACAATTCTGTCCAGCGATGTTGTACTAGGCCAGCCTTGTTAGGATTAGGATCAAGATTCAAGGCGGGTTGGGTTCGGCCGGTGTATATTATAAATAAAAGGAGACCCAATGGATGTGGCATGTTTCCAGTGGGAATTAATCTAAAAAAATTGGAGGCTGAAGGAGTGAAATTTATCGAAGTTGTTTGCTCGTAGCCGTTACCCCACCTGGAAATGTCAAGAGACATTTAAGCCCCATTGTGAATTTCATTTGAGTTATCTCGCAGGTATCAAAACTTAGGCATCCTCATGAATGAAGTGGGCCTAACCCTCCTGAATATTTTTTTTGTTAATGTCAGCACTGATACTTGACGTTAATACTTTAGTGATAACCTACTTGACATTGTTCTTTGAACATCTTTGTAGGAGGAACATAAGCTTCTGTGAAAATACCATGAGCTCGTTTTTGTGAACCATTTTTTGGACTGAAACACTAGCAATTTAAGTATCAATGTAGCCTTACAGGAGGCCACATTGTGATTAACAACACCTCTGATATGAATTTATTCAGTTACTTTGTGAATGAAGCAGGAACAAAGAAGGGGACCCAGAGCACTTCTGATTTAGTGCTTCTTTGCTGGCAAATGATTATCCTTTATCACCGTTGCCAACTTGGGCTCTCACTTGGCTTACAGTCAAGGATCTCCCACCCCTATAAGCTGACTTCCTCCTGCTACTAGCTGTAGGTTGAATTTTGATGATCCTCTGCCTTTTCAAAAATGAGGAATTTTTGCACCTGCAATACAAAATTATCAAGAACACATTTTACATCAAAGCATTTCATGTTTTATTTACAAAGACAATTTTATTGAATGGCAGACATGTATGGTAACAGACACATTATGATATACATAGAAAAAAGGAGTGCTTGCTTGGCACATGTAATGTAGTTAAGTCAAAGAGCATGGTAGTGCAATCAATCAGAGATTGGCTCTCGTTCTGTAGGGGACTATAGGGGCAGGTCATGGTTTGCTTAAACCTGTGACAGACAGTAGTAATTTTCAAGTACCAAACCAGTATATCCTGATTGTGCCATGTAGAGTGGCAGGTTTGTTCTCATACTAAGTAGACTCTCCCTAGGGGCATGTGGGTTTCATTGGTAATGGAGAAAGCTCACTGCCACTCTTTTTTATTTCCTTCCCTTCTGGGTTTCATTTGGAAACTGGAACCACTCAGCCACTTGGCTCAGCCCATCAAAGCATTCTACATATGATTCAGGGGTGCTGATACATTTTTAACTGCTTTTATGCATTATCCTGGACCTAGTTCATTTGATATGATGAAATATGCAGATAGGATTGTCATTGCACATGATTGAAATTGTTTATGTGGCATCCAAATCATCTCTGACTATAGTTTGAGCATCCCAGAAATAAAGCAAAGCAGAAATGCCTAGTTTCTGTTTGCTTCTTCAGAGACTAACATCTGGCAACAATAGGCTAATGGTGCAAATACACCATATATGCTGAAAACTCACCAAGAATGAAGTGTAGTTGCCTTTCCAGCTGGAGTAGATAGAGTCTTCTCAAGTCTCTTCACAGCCAGTACCAAGGGATCATGTGGACTCTGGATGACTCTAATATCTTGTATTAGGTTTTCAAAAGAACCACACGTTCTGTAGGGATTTTTTGCTTGCATGATCTAGCCCTGAGAAAAGAAATGATTGAAAGGAATAAGGAAGCTTGAGCATTAAGTAGAGACTTCAGTAGCAACAAGCCATATATTGTGGAAGTGGCTAGCAAAGACAAAGGTGATATTCATGGAAACCAATATATGCCAAGGTGTTACAGTGCGTGTTTAGGCTCTGATAAAAGATCATAGGTTCATCCAGGCCCAGAAATGACCAGATGGCATGAGCGCTTAATGGTGAAACATTTTATATATCCTGTCAGAAGCTCTCAACCTGAAACCCCCTACCTTCCTTTTGTGGCAAACCTGTTTTTTGGGGTGCAGAAGAGGAAGAAGGCCACAAGTATGACAAATGAGAATTTTGCTGGTCTTTGTGGATTAGAAGTGGCCCTTCCTGGGACTGGATGGGCAATACTGTTATTTATTTTAAGTCAAATCACATATTTTAAGTTTTAAATTATGTTGTATACCTTCTGCTGAATCCTTATTGGAGTTGCTTCTAGCTTCTGCTATCTTCATGTCTTTTGCAGGTTCAACCAGTCTCAAAGACTGTCTGAGATTCCATTGCAGGTTCACCCAAAATACAGAGGGCAGTGGATACAGAGGTTGACACCTTGGGGTGTCTGGTATCAATGGCTGAGTAGAAAAAAATGAATTGATCAGAGTGCTACAATGTGCACAATGGATATTTAAAAAAAAAAAAAAGAAACATTGCAGCAAAACAAGAGACTCAAGCAAAACAAGAAACTTAAGGAAAGATTCCTATGAATAAATAAAGTTCAAAGTGCAGCCCATAATGATGTCACATTACCTGTGAGAAACACTTTGTCAAAGAAGGACACATTTGAAGCCTCATGTCCCAAAGCCAGGTATACAAATGCTAACTTGTCACTGGGACTATTGGGGATAGGGACATTTGGCAGAATGAAGCTATGTTGCTCTGCTACAGCAACTTGATGCTTGCAGCAAGCATCAGTAAGTCCCATGTAGTAGTCACAAAACCCATGCTCTGGGTCAACCTCATATTCCCCATCAGTGAATTTTGTGCCATTTTCTTGGGAGATACTTTTGATGTCACACGATCTTGACAAGATAGCCATGAGATGAAAGATGAGAAAGTATAGCTTGGTTCTATTGTGCAACCCCCAAGTATATTTGGTACCTCTTGGAAGTAGGTTTCAAGATGTAAAAATGAAAATGTTCATTTTTCCCTCTCCATCCTGAATCCATATTAAAATGTCTATGATAAAAAATGTGTTTCAAATTTTTAGTTTCGATGAAACAGTGCTAAAAGTACACTTTAGAGCTTCACTCAGTTTGAAGAATCTCATGAAAGGAATGGCAAAGTGATGAGAAAATGTAGGTTTCTTATGTTTCCCTGAAATCAGCTGCAAGCCATTGAAAAGTTACATCAAAATATTTGCTCATTAATCCATATGGCTTTTAAAAAATTGAGAAGAGAAACAACAGAAATAATAGTGCTTATTAGCACTCTACCTGTATTGTCACAATATGTCTGTTCTCCCACTTGAGGCTGCAGAAAGAATCCCGGCCCGCAAATACTTCTAGAAGGTGTCACAGAAGTATTCCATGAAGGCCACGAGGTTAAAACTTCTCATGCGACAGAGAATGATGTCTTTCAAAATTCTTATTGTCACTTCTGCAAAATTATTTGTGGTATGTACATGTGTGAGTAACTTATTAAAAGGAAAGCACCCATTGTTCTCATGCCTCCCACTGCTTCTCCAAGTATTCCTGAATTATGCAATTTAAGGTCTTGAAATATTTTAACTATGATCTATTAGTCTAAACCATCAAATAGAGTCAAATATTTCTTCATCCTTTGAAAAGTGACAAATAACAACTCCTCATTTGCTTCAACGCAATTCTTATCCACATTGTAACAGATAACTTCTCCTGTGCTTACTTGATATTGAGGGAAGTCCTTGGCTTTCATGATTGCAGCATCAAAATTACTCCTTCCATCCTCCACACTTCCACACCACATGATTGCTCCATAAGTGTGCATAAGCTTCTGTTGCTCCCATTTGCCTATGCCATGTCGACCATCGCATAGCCACCGCTAAGTTGCCTGTAGAAGCCATTCAGAGAAGAGCAAAACTGCATCAAGGTTTGATATCATTGTCTGTTTCAAATCTTATGTTCCAGAAAATTCTGCTATCAAAAGTGATTGTGATGTCAGCTTCCAGGTCAGATATGTTTTCCTCCTGAAGTAATTTCTATTGTACTGGTTTTTCGGGTGGGATTGAGGAAGGAGTGGCATATCCTTGTGATGGGACAATTAATTTGAATATGAACCTCTTTAATGCATCTGTAGTCTTGGATGAATTAGATGCTTTTAGATATATGAAACAATAAAGTTGTCACAAGAACTGAATGAACTGAACTGCTTACTTAGAGAAAGCCCATGATGAAGAACACATTTTGGTACAGCTCCAGCTAGAGTTGGGACCAGCATGAAGGTGACACTGACTCCACTTGCATCTATGCTTGATGTGGTATCTACAAATATTGTCTCATTTGCTGATGGTAAGAGTGCTGCTTGCCTCATGATAGGGCTTGTGATAGCACAGATTAGAGGATCTTCATCATGAGAAGTGATATGAAATCCTAAGGAGAAAAGGACATGAATTGGTCAGTTATGAAATAGTCAGTGTGGGAAATCGACAGAATATGAGGGCTGATAAGAAAGTTCTGATGATGACCCATGAATATAGCTACATTTGTCACTTTTAATAGTATGAAGAAATGTTTGACTATTGTGATGGTTTAGACTAATAGATCAGAGTTAAAATATTTCAAGACCTTAAATTGCATCATTCAGGAATACTTGGAGAAGCAGTGGGAGGTGCAAGAACAATAGGTGCTTTCCCTTTAATAATTTACTCATACATGGACATACCACAATTAGCAGAGACTACCATTAGAAATTCAAAAGGATATCATCTTCTGTCGCAGGAAAAGTTTTATCCTTGGGGTCTTCAATGAATACTTGTGACTTATTTGAGAAGTATTTGCAGGTATTCTCTCTTCGATCTCAAGTGTGACACCAGGCATGTGTTGTGTTAATACAGTGTTACAAGGCACCAACCTGCATTGATGCCATTCCTTCTTAATAATAAATAATAAAAATTCATGTAGATGAATGTGTTAACATGCTTGAAGGCTGCATGCATTTCTTCTGCTGCATGTCTCATTTGCAATTCTCTTTTCTTAGGGGTTGGTTCTTGCTTCCTTGGCAATATGATATGAATCTCATCTACATTTCCTAGCAGCCATAGTTCTGTTTGAACATGTAATATGGCACCACTATGAGGTTCTCTATGAAATTGTTCCTGACATTTTTATGCATTTTTTTAAAAGTGCTTTTCTTACTTAGTGCATCCTTTAGTGCATCCCTTTACTTGTACTGGTTTGTTTTCCTGGGGTGCACATTGAAGCATTCTGATGCAATATTTATTCAGCTTGTGACACCAGAAATCTCACAAACTCAACCAAGGCAATTATTGGGTAATCCTATTGGACAATACAATGGACTTGGAGATGGCTGAAACAAGAAGCATCTGTAATGGTATTTAAGCAAATGATACCTATTATTTAAAAGTTTCTTCACATGACTGACGAAAGAAATTGTCAGAAAGAACTTATATTTGTGCCAGAAAATGTACTGTAATATTTTGAGTGTATTGATTCCTATTGGACTGCTTTTCACTTCTTGGAAAATTCACAATAAAAGGCACTCTGGTTTCTTCTCATTGTTGATGTTTCCTTTATTTCTTTCAATCCTTTTCACAGAGCTGGATGATGCAAGCAGAGAATCTTGACAGAACATGTGTGGATTCTTTAGGAGAGGTGCAGAGTATAAAAGTTTTCTGAAGTCCCCATGACCCCTTCTAGCTTGCTGTGAATAGGTGGTAGGTATACATTTTCAATTTACCTTCATTTGAGCGCTGCAATATTTGATCCTTAATTATGCAAATGTATAAGTTCGTCCTGTGCACAGTAACGAGCTATTTTTCCGCTTGACATTATTTTTGCCTTCGTTGGTGTATGACGTCGGCATAGGGGAAAGCCAATGAAATGGATTGACTCTATTTTCTCATTATGCACTTTGATCAATCGGCATTGCCTGATGAAGTGGCTCTGTATGCATTCTTACTTCGCCGGTTTCACTTAAGTTGGCATTAACTTCAGACCGATTAGCCTATGAAGTCGTAGCATTCGAAAGTCTTCCCTATGGAATTGAACAGCAAATACAATTTCCCATTTTGGGGTATACATGGACGTACGATGCAAAGCTCCAAAAGAGAAGGTTCTCATGGCGATGACGACATGGGGAAGGTCTTTTAGGCTGGAGGGAGTTTTGGTGCAGGCTTTGCGCCATGCTGGGTGATGGTGATGTGCATTGATTCCGAGCTGTCATTGGCTGCTTGGCTCCAATAACGATGCGAAGTGACTGCGTCATCATCATGGCTGCCCCGGTGTCTTGGGCATCAAGTTGAGAGAAGGCTGTGGATAGTCGTCCGGCGGCCGGAGGTCTAATAGGAAGGATCTGGCAGTCCGGCGGTCTGTCACGCATGCGCACTGAAACCTCGTCGCGTCACGTAATGGCAGCCTCGTTAATATATTAATATAAGTTAATATATTAGATAATAAATGGACCATTGTTGCAAGATTTACCTTATGATTATTGCACTCAAGCAACTGCACTTGTTCACATGAAGCTGATCTGCTAACATGTCACACTAACGTTCCAGTACAAATGAGGCATGATGAATCCATCCATTATATAGGTCTTAAGGTCATATGTTTTGAAATATTATTAAATGAGCAATGTGAGAGAGGTGNCTCCTCCTGGTCAGTGCCAGGCAACCTTGTACCTGGTTGAGATATGTCTTTCCAAGTGTACTACTCTCTTCTAAGACTATATCCCCTTCTTGAAAAAAATAAGCATGATGATAAGGTGCGCACTCAGCATCAGTAATATTGTACAAAGAAACACGTTCTATAACATCCTTGACAGGCTTGATGAACAGCTTTTCTTGAAGTCCAAGGCATCTCAAAATACCTGTGTCCTTCAAGGAAAAAGGACATTTCACTTCTAAAATAACATCATTCCTGACAAGCCCATCAGGAGAAGCACCGAACATCCCACTCTCTCCAAGCACAATCCCACAAGGGGAAACAATACACCCCATGGCTTTTCTGTAGACACACAATGCCACTTGTTCATGATGCCTGCCCCACTGCACTGCTGGCAGTGTGGACAAATCATATTCATTCATCAGTGCTTTCATGGTGCTTGGAGGTATATTTCCCCTATTGGCAGCAGTGAGGAGTTTGGCGAAATTGCTTGCAGTAAAGCGCCCATATCGGAACCTGCCCCACCACTGGTTTGATGCTTGTCCCCTTGTTTTTGCCTCAATACCTTGAATATCTTCTGCATTCAGCTTCATTGCAGCAGTAATATATTGTCTGAAAATAAATTATTGTATTCAATTATGAGTCATTTTTTCAATTACCAATGACCTTTATTTACAAGACATGCCCTTTACAAAATGGTCAAGGAAGGTGAGATGGAATATACATTGAAGAGTAATAAGAAAGATGATGAGTTGAACAAAGTGATGATAGGCGATTGTGGGTTGTTGTGGAAAGATCTTGGAGATGAGTCGGTCTGTGACCAGCCAACAGGTGGTGTTATCAGACCAGGGGAGTGAAGAATGAAATGAATGATGTAATGAAAAGATTAAAACTTTTATATGAACTCACCTTATCTGGAGCCAAGAGAAGCCCATCAGACAGTAGAATTGCTTCCATTGTCTTTTCCTTGAAGGAATCAGTATTCTGGGGCTCTGGCGTTAAAAGCCAAGCTAATCCAAAGTTTTGAGAGGGAAGTGACTCAAAAAAGCATAAAATGCTCTCCTCACTGGGTGTTGAGCACTTGATCTGAAAAAAAACAAACAAAAACACTACCTAAGTATCAAATTTCCATCAATGCTAGTAACTATGAATTTGTTGTTACTGTAATTATTTTTTCAAATGATCACCACAGACCAAAAAACCTTTTCCTTGCCAGTTAACTGGAAAAGTTCTTCAACTCTCACTGGCTGCTGTGGTTCATGCTGTTTTCCTTTGATCCAGGTACAGGGTTGATCAGTACAGCTGATGTTGCGAGATGCATAGATTGTCACAGCAGCCATATGATGACAGAGGAGCTGGCCGACAGGACACGTACACTTACCTTCTAGCAGTCTCTTCTGCTCCAACTTGAGCTAGAAAATAAATTTGCAAACTCATATACTTGCAGACCAACTAATACATTTCTGTACTCACAGTCACAGGTCTCAGGGTAACAACCTTCAAAAAATGGCTTGGCAGCGAAAGTGTTAACCATTGTGTCTTTTCCCCCTAGAAGTCCATGGTTCCGTAAAAGCCAGTTAATTAATGGAGGTTTCAACATTCAGGATTGGGGGGGGGATGAATCAACTGCAGCTCTACCTGACTCAAAAACTCTGGTTGCACCAAAAAGCAAATGAGGAAATGCTATGCCACCCTTTAATTGTTTCTGGTTTGTTGATGGTCTCTCTTTGCACTTNAAAGATATTCTAAATGATATGCAGGATAGTGTAATCTTGTCAGATAGTCCTGCATTTCTGCTCACCTCAGTTCTTGTCTATTCAGACGTGCTGACAAAAGAGCCACCGTAGATGACAGGATCTGCAGCTGTCACTTCAAAGATGCAGATAGATTGAATGGACCCACTTTCAATGGCCCCAGTCATCGAGAACATCTTACTTTTCCAAGTCCAGAGAGAAGAACAAGGTGGGTAATGTATGCTGAATCTCGATTTCTCTATCATGCCACTCAGCTTTCAGTTGCTTGCCTTTACATTTTTCAAGTATGTGCTGTCCTAGCCAATTTGCAAGGTCCCCTCATCAAGGAAACTGAAAACTTGTAATGTGCATTATCAACTTTTGTATCTGATGTCTGGATCCCTTTTTAGATTATCTCCATTATTTTTTAATTATTTAACTCAATTATTTCTCCCCCACTATGATGGTCACTCCCATGCTCATGTTGTGCCATAGGATATGCATATTTTTTGTATCTGATGTCTGGATCCCTTTTTAGATTATCTCCATTATTTTTTAATTATTTAACTCAATTATTTCTCCCCCACTATGATGGTCACTCCCATGCTCATGTTGTGCCATAGGATATGCATATTTCTCCAATATCACCAATTTCCTCTGTGCCTGCAGAAAATACATGGCATTGTAACATGAGGAATATTGAATTACATCGGCATTTTATTATGCATGTGAAGGTAAACCCCATGTATGATAATCAAATTCAATGTGAAACAAAGGTGACAAGACATTTAATGCACTTGGAATATTGTGCCTCTCGCACAAGTATGGAATGAACTTATTTACATACAGCTCTTGAAGGAGTGGAAGACACCTCTCCCCCCAGCTCTCATCTTTTGAAATCACAAAGATGATTGTTTCAGTGGGTGTCCACACAATGAAATGGCACTGTCTCCTCCTGGTCAGTGCCAGGCAACCTTGTACCTGGTTGAGATATGTCTTTCCAAGTGTACTACTCTCTTCTAAGACTATATCCCCTTCTTGAAAAAAATAAGCATGATGATAAGGTGCGCACTCAGCATCAGTAATATTGTACAAAGAAACACGTTCTATAACATCCTTGACAGGCTTGATGAACAGCTTTTCTTGAAGTCCAAGGCATCTCAAAATACCTGTGTCCCTCAAGGAAAAAGGACATTTCACTTCTAAAATGACATCATTCCCGAGAAGCACCGAACATCCCACTCTCTCCAAGCACAATCCCACAAGGGGAAACAATATACCCCATGGCTTTTCTGTAGACACGCAATGCCACTTGTTCATGATGCCTGCCCCACTGCACTGCTGGCAGTGTGGACAAATCATATTCATTCATCAGTGCTTTCATGGTGCTTGGAGGTATATTTCCCCTATTGCCAGCAGTGAGGAGTTTGGCGAAATTGCTTGCAGTAAAGCGCCCATATCGGAACCTGCCCCACCACTGGTTTGATGCTTGTCCCCTTGTTTTTGCCTCAATACCTTGAAAATCTTCTGCATTCAGCTTCATTGCAGCAGTAATATATTCTGTCTGAAAATAAATTATTGTATTCAATTATGAGTCATTTTTTAAATTACCAATGACCTATATTTACAAGACATGCCCTTTACAAAATGGTCAAGGAAGGTGAGATGGAATATACATTGAAGAGTAATGAGAAAGATGATGAGTTGAACAAAGTGATGATAGGCGATTGTGGGTTGTTATGGAAAGACCTTGAAGATGAGTCGGTCCATGACCAGCCAACAGGTGGTGTTATCAGACCAGGGAAGTGAAGAATTAAATGAATGATGTAAGGAAAAGTAGAAAACTTTGAAATGAACTCACCTTATCTGGAGCCAAGAGAAGCCCATCAGACAGTAGAATTGCTTCCATTGTCTTTTCCTTGAAGGAATCAGTATTCTGGGGCTCTGGCTTTAAAAGCCAAGCTAATCCAAAGTTTTGAGAGGGAAGTGACTCAAAAAAGCATAAAATACTCTCCTCACTGGGTGTTGAGCACTTGATCTGAAAAAAACAAACAAAAGCACTACCTAACTATCAAATTTCCATCAATGCTAGTAACTATGAATTTGTTGTTGCTGTAATTATTTTTTCAAATGATCACCACAGACCAACAAACCTTTTCCTTGCCAGTTAACTGGAAAAGTTCTTCAACTCTCACTGGCTGCTGTGGTTCATGCTGTTTTCCTTTGATCCAGGTACAGGGTTGATCAGTACAGCTGATGTTGCGAGATGCATAGATTGCCACAGCAGCCACATGATGACAGAGGAGCTGGCCAACAGGACACGTACACTTACCTTCTAGCAGTCTCTTCTGCTCCAACTTGAGCTAGAAAATAAATTTGCAAACTTGCATACTTGCAGACCAACTAATACATTTCTGTACTCACAGTCACAGGTCTCAGGGTAACAACCTTCAAAAAATGGCTTGGCAGCGAAAGTGTTAACTATTGTGTCCCCCTAGAAGTCCATGGTTCCTTAAAAGCCAGTTAATTAATGGAGGTTTCATCATTCAGGTCTCATTCTTTTAATATGACCTAGGATTGGGGGGGGGGGATGAATCAACTGCAGCTCTACCTGACTCAAAAACTCTGGTTGCACCAAAAAGCAAATGAGGAAATGCTATGCCACCCTTTAATTGTTTCTGGTTTGTTGATGGTCTCTCTTTGCACTTTTCCCTTCATTTTCCAAAAGCCACATAGGTTAGCCTAAAATATGCAAAATCAGTATGCCTTCCAATCTCATGGAATAAAAAAATTGGATTCCTGTGATACATGCATCATATGATTATCAATGATATCAGATCCCTTTTGATGAATATAGGTTTTTCGGATATCTGTAAAAATTCATAATCTGTAACATCCTTAGTTTAAACCAACAATCATTGCAAGCTTAAGAGAAAAAAACTTACCTCGACATCATAGATTTTCTTCTTCTGGGAAGCATGAACTCTCCCGATGATTTTGCTGTCTTTAGGCACAAATTCAAAGCTTTGAAGATGGCTGGACTGCAATGCATCTTCACCCCGGTCGAGAAGGTTCAACTTGTATAGATTTTCTTCTTCTGGGAAGCATGAACTCTCCCGATGATTTTGCTGTCTTTAGGCACAAATTCAAAGCTTTAAAGATGGCTGGACTGCAATGCATCTTCACCCCGGTCGAGAAGGTTCAACTTGTGGCTAAAAAACTCGGAAATCGAAGAAAACGAAACCATGGCAGAGGGTGGGGGAGCAACTTTCAACGGTGGGACGCAGGGAAATGTCTGACTTCGCGCGGGTCAAAGGCAAAACAAAAGGCTTCCCTCTTTCACCCTCAGGGCATATGATGGCATGAGGCAGCCCTGATCCGCCGATAACACTTACCTCTACCCCAAGGAAATTCCAATGCTTAAAAATAGCCTTTGACATGGAGAACTGAACTGACTATCCTTGAAGCATAGTCAGGAATAATTAGGGGAAGGAAGAGAAAGGACTGATTCTAACGTTAACGTTTACTTTTTACTAACTTTTTACTACGTTTACTTTAGTTATGATGGGCCTTGGACCCCGAAGAAACTCATCTGTTATCCCATTATGCACTACCCGGCCGCCAGAAGCAGGTCCAAGGGCCACATGCGGCGAGTGGCACCGCTGTAACTCTCTTGGCCCTAAGGAAAGGGGGGGGGGGGCGGCTCTGCTTTCACTGGAACAATTTTCACGAAACAGGCAAAGTGCATAGATCGATTTTGACATGTCATGCAAATTGATTATGCGAAAGCAAAACAAACAAGCAATTATTCAATATACATGGAAGTTTAAGGTACCACTGGAACATGAAAATCGACTCCCATGGATCGAAATTCCGCTCTTTAATTGTTGCAAGGGACCTCAAGAAAGGGCCTTGGAGCCGATTGCTGACTCTCTCGGGTCACCCCCGGGGCCTTGATCTATGGTCAAAGGTCAACATTTACATGCTTCTCTTTGAAAACCTCCATCTCCCCAATCCTTGGTCGCAGAAACGTCAAGTTTGTACCGTTCTCCGTGAGACATACAGCACTAAATAGAAAAAATAAATACACGTATGCAACTCTCGTTCCCGAGACGCCATTACGCCATAATTGAGAATTTTTCCGCTTTCGGATTCTGTTTTTTCGCTCTCATTCCTCGTAGAAATTTTCTATCGGCAAATGCATGCTCCGGTTTTTAAAGGCCATCTTTTTAAGTCCATCTTTTTTCGGAGTTGCGCATGGTTTCCTCCTACCGTTCTCCCTCAGTGTTCGATGATCCGCCTGAAAAATCTACTTTTTTTGGAAGGGACGTGACGTTGACGGACGATACTCGAAAACGAGGCCGTATTTCCAAAATTCCTCATGTAGATCTCTTTAAAAGTCTCTTAGCTAGCTTAATATAAATTTTCACGAGAATCCGTCCACACTCCTAGAAGCCTATCGATTTTTCCTGTTGCCTCTTTTGACGATTTAGGTCATTTCTACCATTCCGGGTCGATTTCCTCTTCTTACCGGCCAAGAATGCAGGATTTTTTGTGCCCATCCCATAGAGGGATGTTTCACGGATCCAATGACACCAAGATTGCTTATTCTCTCCGAAGGGATAGAGAATGCGAGGCTTTAATTACCGATTTGCATGAAAACTTGAATGCTCGCGCGCAGCTCTTCCCTCTTTCACTTCCCTCCCGCCTCGCACAGACTTGTGCGTGCTCGCGATTGTGTGTCTGTGAGTGAAAAGGGGGGAAGAGGACCGATGGCTATCGCTAATGATTTTTTTTTCTTGTATCTATGATGCCTTTTGTTTCATCAAATGCTCCGCTTTCGCTTCCCTCTCCTGAGTCCTCCCTCACGTCGCCGCTCGCCCCTAACCTTTCTACTCTTTCTTGAAGGCATTCCTTATGAAAACATGGGTGCGGATGAATGTCTTTCGGCACGGTTGTTAATTTTGGGGGCATTAAAATGGAGACAGGAAACAAATATTCACACGCTTGAGATAAATGAATCAGGGTCATAAAACTTTATAAGGAATCCAAATTATCCTACGCAACGAGGGGAGAGCTCAAAGAATCAAATTACATAAAAATTAATAGACAGAGGGGCTTTCAATATTTCCTCCCCTCATTCTCTCCCAAGGAACGAAGGCACTTTCTAAGATCTTTTGCATCTCGAGACCTGGAAAAAGGACCTAAATGGGATGAGAAATTAGTTTAACCCTTTGGACCGAGTATTCTCAGAACGAGGATAATATACAGGGTGGGCAAAACTCAGTTAACCAAAAGTGCATGATTGTAATATATTATTAAAGGTAATAAATAAACCCATGTTTGTTTTCCACCATTCCTGCAAAAGAAACACACGTTGCTCCATTGTTAGTTTCATACGTTGCTCCATTTACAATTTGCAATTTTAATTTCAATTTTCAAATTTCAATCTGGAATGAACAAAAACTAAAATTAAAAACACGTGCTTGCGGTAAACTGACTTTTGCCCCACCCTGTATTTCGAGACGAATATGAAAAATGACTGCTGAATCATGCGCGAATGTGTTGAGTCTCCTCTGACCAAGAACGATTTGACTGAGGCCATGTTGAAGTATCATGCAGCAATCGACTGCGTATTTCCTGCATGCCTCCTTCCTCGTCCACGATCACGAGCTGCTTTCTTCAGAGTCAACGGTGTGATGGAATAACCAGATGACACCTACATCGCCTTTCCAGGTAGGATTAGGTAGGAATGGTAGGATTTTTCCCTGTTGTGCCTGAAATAGCCAGCATACTGTACGAAGCGTGATCCTTTCCCTCTCTCACTCACTTTATTTTTCCTGTCTAGGCTTCTCTTCCCGTGCATGGGAGATGCGAGGCGCCAGCACACCGCTGTCTCGCTACTTCCTAAAAAAAAATTTTCTTCATGCTTGCCCCTTGCTTCACAATCCATCTTTTTCCACATTCGCTTGAAAGAATTCAGAATTCAGAATTTCCAGAATTTCAGAACTTCAGAATTTCCACTCGCGAGGCACCCAACATCTTTTATGAGTAGGGAGGTAACTCTCCTGTTTTCCTCCCTTTCCTCCCAACCAATTCGCAAAGAATATTGCGAGGTTGTGATTTTCCCGGTTTCACTCCCTAATATAAAAAAATGCTGTCGGAGAGAAAGTGTAGTAATCCCTGCTATTCCATAGTCCTGAGGTCTTTCACTCATTCCAGTTCGTAATAGGGTATTGGTTGACGATTATCCCTTCCTGCGAAAGCTTTTATAAAATAGGGGCAGCCGTGGAGACGTATTTGTAACACCCTCTCCCTGCCCCCCCCCCCCCCCCCCCCCCCCCCCCCCCCCCCCCCCCCCNCCCCCCCCCCCCAATCCCTCATCATTTGATCTTTGACATGCAAAAGAGTTTTCAGATATGCCTATTTGAAACCTTCATTTTTTAAGTTAATTTTATTATCTTTTTCCTTTCGTTGTTACATGCTATTTTTCTCCCTTATTTTCCATTTTCATGAATAATATTATTTCTTTCCGATTTATTAGCGACGAAAACGATCAATCCAGGGCGCAGCCCCTTTCTCTCATGAAGACTTCGTAGAGCGCAGCGAGGAAATGGATAAGGCATGGATTACCTCGCATACTGAATGTGGAAGGAGGAATGCATACATTTAGGTGAAACCCCATCGGGGAAAGAAAAGTATCCCACGTCTATAATTACTGATTTTTAAAAAAACATTTTCCGTAATCGCTCGGCGCCGTCCCATGAGAGTTTGCTATGAGATACGAAGATCCTGAAGTAAAACAGTTTCTCCTGGGGTAAGAACCCTTGCATTACGTAACCAGAAATTCATTCAGGTATGCACAAAAAGTTCAAGTCTGATGTTTCAGTCATGAGAAATGTGGAACTTTGGATTAGACTCATATTTTGGATACTTATGGGAAGAAAGCTCCATAAATTACGCTCGCCAATGGTGAATCTTCATTCCCTTCCACAAGGAACAGTGACACGGGGAAGAATACCTGTCCCGTGTACCTAGCTCTGGATACAGAGAGAATTATGAAGTCCATGCAGCTAAAGTTCTGCAAACAATTTCCGAAAACAGTGCAACCTTTCAAATCTCTAACGATTCCAATGAAGTACGGATATGCTGAGAAAACTTCATTGATCATATCCTTGAAATTTTCAAAATAGATTTCCATGTACGAGACTTGAAGATGCAGATGAAGCAAGAGAAGAGGGTACCAGACTCAAATAGTGCCTTTAGTAGGTTTTTACTGGATTTCGGGCCGGGGAGAAGGGAGGGGGGGACAGAAGTAAATCCATTCCTCAGACGCACGTTCAGACTGAAAAAGGCGGGAACGTGAAAGCTAGTGCTAGACACGTCTTAGCACGTGAGAGGGGAGCAGAGTAAATGAAGAGGTAGACTCAGTGAAAACGCACAAGAGTTTCAATGCCCTTTGTCGTCTGCTGGTCATTTTAGGTACAATAACAGGAATTAGTCCCACTACTCGGTAACCGGTTCACCGCGAAAGGTGATTTAGGTGTCATCTGAATCGTGGGTCATTCCATCACACTCTAGGGTTTGATGGAATGAGCTGGAATGGAATGAACGAAGCTACTTTCCTCTAGGGCCTAGAGCAGTGGTTCTCAGCCTGGGAGGTGTCACCCCCCGAATGCATGAAGGTTCAATGGGAGTAAAAGGAAGGTTGAGAACCACTGGCCTAGAAGAAAGTAGCTGGAGGTCGTTGGCGAGGAAGGAGACATGCAGGAGAAACGCGGTCGACTGCTGCATCATTCTTCGACATGGTCTCAGTCCAATCATTCTTGGTCAAAGGAGAATCAAGACATTAGCGCATGATTCGGCAGTCACGGCCCCCAGGGACTTGATGGTTAGAGTGTGGTTAAAATCAGCAAAAACTAATGTTTCAACATCTTACTTCAGACGAGAAAACATGAAGAAATTAACAAAACATGGAAGATTGTGAAATTCACACTCTACCAACTTAGACGATTCATGGTTGCATTTTTTTGTGAATTAGGAAATCTGAATTGCCTTTGTCTCCTCGGTTTTTTGTTCACTCGCCTCTATATCCGTCCTTATTTTTTCTGCATTTTTCTCATGCTTCTTCGACGTCATCTCCGTTTCTTGAACATTCATTTCACGCACCATAATTGCCATCTCCGTTTTTTCAACCTGCCTTCTACGTTCCTGCGAAGCCAACACTACTATTTCAATATTCTCCTCATCTTACTGCACGGTCATCTCCGTTTCCCCCGTGTTCGCCACATGGTTAGATTCAGTCTCCCTTCCCTCGACATCTTCCATATCCACCTCATGAGCCTTCGAAGCCATCCTCGTTTTCACATTATTCTCATGCTCTATTGAAACCATTTCCACTTCAACAATCTCCTCGTTCTCCTTAGAAGTTGTTTGCATTCCTTGTACATTCACGTGACGCTTACTTGAAATCATCCCCGCTTTCCCTCATGCTCCTCCGAAGTAATCTCCGTTTCCTGTACGTCTACTTCTCGTGCCTTTGGAGCCGTCTCCATTTCAAAATTCTCATCGTGCTCCTCCGAAGTCGTCTCCGTTTCTTCAACGTTCTCCTCATGCTTCTGGGCAGTTCTGTCCGCTTCCTTTATATTTACCTCATGATCCTTTCAAGGGATTTCCAATATCCTCCATTGTGACTTCATGCTCCTTGCGGGTCATCTGCATTTTCTGGACATTTTGACGCATTTTTATTGGAACCACACCAGTCATCCATGCACCCATACCCCGACGTGATGTTTGTGCTTATATGAGGAGTTAGAGGCAGGAAGAGGAGTCAAAACCTCAACCAAATCTGATGCAGCTTAATTACCTCTTACTCTGTGTCTTTCGTTCAAGGTAGGATGGCACTTATGAATGTAAATTATGAATGCATGATAATGACGCGGGACCAAAAATACGCTTTTTCCACACTAACATCATTGTATTCACCTGACTTTTGCTTTTATCTCG